AGCTCAGTAGTAGACTGCTTTCTTGGCATGCTTGAAATGCTATTTAAAAAAAACAAAAAAAAAAAAAAAAAAAAGAAAGAAAGAAAAAGAAAGAGTGGAAAAAGGAGGCGCTACACTTTCTGAAGAATTCAGGGCTACAAGCACTGCACTAGGGGGCAGGGATTCTTGGTAGGAAACGTTCAGCATCCACTAACACACTAGGTGTTTCACTTTAGCATGATTTAAGGTGAACCAGCCTTTCTAGAGGCAGTTCATGACCAGAAAATACTGGAAAGTTAGGTCTCCAATCAGGCCAGAAAATTTATTCTCTTGACCAAGAAGGGGCCTTTCTTGCTACTATAACATCTCTTTGCCTCTCAACAAGGTATTCTGAATTAGAAAAAAAGAAAAAAATGCTAAAAACTTTGGAAGTTATGTTTCATATAAACATGACATGTACTCCAAAGGATCTTTACTTTTTGAATGAAATTTGTCATTACTGCCTATTAGGACAATCTCATTCTATAGACCAACATTATGCAACTAAAGTGATCTACAGGATCTTTTAAACAATCAACAATCCTTTATTTACTGAAGAAAGTAACTTTTAAGCATGGGCATTTTCTTCCACTTACATTTTCACTAGCCTTAATGAAAACAGAACTTTAGGAAATTCAAAATAAAATTCAGGCATAAAATGCAACCAACAGCAGTTTCTATAGGTTAACATTTAACATCATAATTTTAAGTTAGGAAGCCATTAAGGGTGGGGCCCCTCCCTTATGGTCACCTTTAGACTCCACCTCCTATTTCCCTGTGGAGATGACATTCTAATCTGCTCCAATGAAACATACAGTTTCCTCCCTTAATCAAAAAAACCCCCATAAATGTGTGTGTGTGTATGTATATATACATGGTCTTTTTGAGACAGGGTCTCCCTGTAGTCACAGCTGGCCTGTATTCACTATAGAGACCAGGCTGGCCTTGAACTGAGAGATCCGTGTGCCACTCCCCAGTGCTGGGCTAAAGGCGTGTGCCACCATGCCCGGCTATATATATATTTTCTAAGTAATTCCAGTTTGAGGGGATCAGATGCCCTCTTCTGACCTCCATGGGCACTGTACTACAAACATACAAGTAATACATTATACACATAAAATAATTTTTTAGGAAAGTTAATATATCTGAACTTGTGAATCACCTGGCTAAGAGACTAGGAAAGCTGGTTCAGCAGCAGACTTGCTGAGGAGGTGGGAGAATAATCCTTCCCTTAATGAGATAAAGTGCTTATTTTTCTCAGAAACCACTCCCTCAGGGCAGCTCGTTACAGAGCTTCCACCATGCAGGACTGCACCAATTGTCTACTTCTCTGAATCCTAACTCTAAACCATAACTTTTCCTTTTCTTTCTCTCTTTCAAATACTGGCCAAATGCCCAAGCAACCTTTCCCTGAGGCCTTGGGCTTTCTCACTCTTGTTCAGAAGTACCCACCCCACCCTCCTCCTGCCATGCCATGTATCCACTCCTGAACCTGGAAGCTTTCTTGGACTCTACTTCAAAAAGGCATGGCCTTGCCGTCTCTCTCTTCTTCACCCTCCTTTCCCCAGCCAATGCTAAGATTTATAGCTTGCCTACTCTGTTTTCACTCAAATTTGACTAAGAATTCACAAAAGGAAACCCCAATCACCCCAGGACATTTAGATTGTCTTTTTACATGAAAAGCAACATATTCTATCCCAATGAAGGGTCAGATGAGAATACATTTGACAGAAATTTGACAGGAAATCAGATTGGGTATTATAACTGAAAAATAATAGATTGTAAGAAATGTTAACGGAATCAATAATATGTGCTGCTCAAATAGAAGCCCAATCTGACAGACTTCCACCTTCATTATCAGGAACATTAACTGAAGAGCAACGGAACTCACTTTCTATATGAATACCTATTAATAAAAGTTGCTAGTCTATGTTAACATACACAAGACAGATTTCTTATCCACATGTGACTTGTACTTAAAAAAAAAGTGATTTCATTTGCTCATCATATTAACAACTGTGGCTTCTTGTGATCTTTTCTAACAATGGCTTGTGATGTTTAATTACATCAGCTCAATGAAGGGACAAATGAAGATTCATCCTAAGTAACAAACCCCAATTTATTTTTGTTGTTGTTGTTGTTGTATGGGTGTGGTTTTTGAGGTAAGGTTTCTCTGTAGCCGCCGCTGGCCTTGGAACTCATCATGGAGACCAGGCTGGCCTCAATCTCCCAGAGATCTGCCCATTTCCCAAGTGCTAGGATTAAGGGCCTCTGCCACCACACTGGATTTAGATTCTAATTTATTTACAAGCAGTATTAGAAACATAAGATGATCTTGTTTCTGCTCAATATTGTGTACTTTTATGGGAAAGAGGAAAGAGAGAAACTATCACAAAGGGTGTGAAATACAACTTAGTGATGACAAATATTTTTATTAAACCCGAGACATAGTAATAATAATAATAGAGTATCATAGGAGACTCTAACTACATTTCATTAGAGGAAATACGGATATAACAACTACAACAAAAGAAAAGAGCCTACTGTAGAAGACTCATCAATACAGAAAAGTTAAGAGAAATTTATTTTGAGTTTAAAAGGTTAAGACTGCCAACAATTTCACTAAGTGATCTGGGTACTGTGGTCAGGAGGTAGCATTCACACTTGCAGATTCCTGTTAGCCCTGTAGTGCTGAGATATATTCAGTATATTCAATATACCTTCAAGATTAAGTCTACTGAGTCAAGAGTTTCCAGAGTCATTATCTAGTATCTAAAAAGAGAAAATCACTGTAACATCATATCCACCTTCTAGAAAAATCAAGATTTACCTAGCATCTTAGCAATTAGAATGTCTTGAAAAGTATGACCTCCAATAATTAACAAATCTCTCATTTATAAATAAGTTTATTTATAATGGTATTTACATAATAAAAACAAAACACATAAAACTCACAAGTTATACAAAGAATCTGGTGTATGATGAAAACAGCAATATAGACTGACAGGCAAAAATTTAAACAAAGATTTAATAAAGAGTGAAATATCAAATAGACAACTTTACTTCTAAATCTTACTTTGTCACCCACTCTGAACTGGAATTGAACAATGGCTTTCTCTTCAGGCGGTCCCGTACTGGAAATCCTGGGAACAGGTAGATTATATTTTGATAAGAGTTTAAAGTTAATGACTATTTCCATGCAGTACCTAATGCTGCTTTAGTATAAAGTCACATCCGTCTGCTTTGAAATGAAGTAGCTTTAATCTGTTCTGCCAGAAAAGAAAAATGTCACCAACATTTTGCTGATCTGTGGAGATATGGCAGCAAGAAATGCACTGGAGAGAAAGAACTGGAGCAGAAGTGACTGGGTAACAGTTCCAAGAGAAGCAAGAGCCAGGAAAGGGAAATCAATGAAACATGCACAATAATAGGCAGACTCAATACGCACAGTCAGTGCAGTTAGGAAAGGAAAGAAGGAATTAAGCCATGGAGCAGGAGAAGGGCTTCTTTAGTTACTATTCACTGGAAAACAACTTAGTGCCTAGCCAAACAAATTTGTTTTAACAGAAGTAGGAAGAGGACCTGGGGATGTTAGTAGATGGAATGCCACCTTTAGATTCAAGCTGAGTTCTTACTGACATTGGTGAACATCTGCTTCAAATAGCAATAAAATAAAGGCTATATAACCTATACTGCTGCATTCTTTACACTAACATAATAAAAACTTCAAATGAGACAAGCAAAAACAAGATATAAGCATTGTCAAATAAGGCACATGTAAAAATCTACACACATTATCCAGTGAAAGACAATATATATATATATATTTGGAGGTAGAAATAATTACAAAAATACTGACATTTCTAAAGCATTAGCATATTTGTTACAAACAATCACCAACTAATCCCCATTCAGAAAACTGCTTTGTAAAATGATTATTCAACATCTTCAGGATGTGAGCATCTGGAGAATCCAGTTAGTGGCAAAAAAGTTGTCCATATTATGAGAAATGCAACAGGGAAATTATAAAAAGTTACAAATGCTCATAAACCCCATGGTCATCATAATGTGACTGTCTTTGAGTGCACCAAGTTGATACTTCCTCATGAGTCAGGAACTCCAAGTTCTCCTCTCACAGGCCCATTGATGTTTTTAGTAACGTGGCTATATCTGCAGGCATACTTCCTTCATCACCTGCAGGCCAGAAAGTGATGTTAGAAGTAATATATAAACAGCTGAATTAGTAAGATATATTTTCTCTCAACTTTTGCTTTCTTTGGTGAATTCCTACCTATATCCAATTTCCAGTTTGTTTCAGTGTCAACTCATTAAAAACTCTCCCTGAGGAAAAGGCAGAGGCAGACAGATTTGTATGAGTTTTAGGCCAGCCAGGGTTACACATTTTGGGAGGGGGGGAAGACAGATAGATGACGATGTCTGTCAGATGGACAGGAGACAACAACCTCCCTTAACCCATGCATAAATTAGGGCTATTTCCTGTGTACATACTGTCAACATGATAATCTATGGTTATACTTATAATCTGATACAGGCATACATGTATACAGATACAAGAATATAGTTTGGCCGGGCATGGTGGTGCATGCCTTTAATCCCAGCACTTGGGAGGCAGAGGCAGGCGGATCTCTGTGAGTTCAAGGCCAGCCTGATCTACATAATGAGTTCCAGGACAGCTGGGGCTACAGGGAGACCCTGTCTCAAAATAAAGACCAAAAGGAAAAAAAAGAAAAAAAAAAGAAAATAGTTTGGTCTGTATCCCACTCATTACAACACATTAGTATTTCCTTCTCATATTTGCTAATAGAAGAAAAACACTATATAACAAACTGAGTAGGGAAAAAACAACAAAGCCCTTAAATACCAACCCAAACAAGAATTTATTTGTTCTCTTATTTATGAAACAATGGTTTTCTTTAAAAAAAAAAAAAAAAAAAAAAAAAAGAAATGAAAGGGCCAGGGGTAGTAATGCAGCCCTTTAATCACAGCATTCTAGAAGCAAAGGCAGGAGCAAAGGCAGACAGATGTCATAGGCCAGCCTGGGATGGTCTACTTAGTTGAGTTCCAGATTACTTGGAGCTGCATAGTAAGGCACCCCCCTCCTCTCTCTCAAACACACACACACACACACACACACACACACACACACACACACACGAAAAAGGTATAAAAAGCACCATGAGGACAATAGCTGTGTGACCATGCAGTTATAACAGTATGTGACTTATACCTGCTCTACAAGCATCAACAGTACACCAGGTGAGGATTAAAATAAATTACATGTTTACCTCAGTTTTTAATTAAATGGGACCTAAGTCTAGACACAGGAATTACTCAGACTATCAAAGGCACAAAAATGCCCTATCTCAGGAGCACACAGAATTCAGCTTTTTCTTTTCATTTTTTGAGACAGGGTCTCACTATGTAGCCCAGGCTAGCCTTGAGTTTCTGGCAATTCTATCTTGGCTTCCAGAGTGCTCAATTGTAGGTGTGATCTACCATACCAGCTAGGATCCAGACATTCTAAATTCAATTAAGATTTTAGAAATTGATTTACTAATTTTCTGATGGCTCTCAACTCATACAATTTCTGATCTGTTATACGACTGTGCACTACAATGAGTTTTTGGGTTACAAAGCTCAAATGCAGCACAATTAGCCACTTCCCTCACAAATATACATCTCACATACAATAGAAGGCTACCAGAGTATTTTTTTCTACTCTTCTTTTTTTGGTAAAAGACACCTAAACATAGGAACACAAAATACTGCACGAACTCTCAGGAATTCAAAGATACCTTTGCTTATTCACATCTGAAAACAGCCTATGACACCAAGCTGCCACTTGACCTAAATAAACTGACACCACACTAGGGAAAAGTACAGAAAGCAAGGAAGAAGGAAGACTAAAGGGACTTTTCAGTTTAAAGCTAATACAGATGCTAAATAAAGTGTAAGCCTTGACAGGATCCTAGTTTCAAAAAATTATCTACAGCAATAAGTCATTAGGGATCAATTTCATACTATATCCATTTAGCATAATAGTAGTTGGTTCTTCCCTAAGGCCTATGATATGTCTTGCTACAGGTTTCTAGGCCTGATATCAGGGTCAGGTATGGCTCCATTTATACCCATAGGTTAATGCATCTCTCAACTCTCACCAGAGAAGCTTCCTCATATAGGAGACGGTGATTTACACAGAAACTCACACTGGCCAACATGCAGAGAATAAGAGACTGCAGAATGCTTATCCTTGAATAGGATCAATATCAAACTTTGGCCTCCCAAGGCTCAGGGATCACTGTGGAAGAGTGGGCAGATAAATTTTAAGTCAGAGGCAGTGGATGACCGTAAGAAAGAGGTAGTGAGTTTTCAGACAGCTGGGTAGTTACTCACAGCAATGGTAACAGCACCGTAAGACTCACGTAAGCTCAAGCCAGACAAAAGCCCAGACAAGTGGAAGTGGGCAAGAAACCCCAACTCTAGCTGATAAACTACTAGCAAATGGTTATCTGCTGGGAGAGAGTCACTTTTCTTTAAGACTGTGACACTGGGCAGGCTAACCAGGCTCCAGGGGATAAGCAATACTAGGGCATTTGGAGACATGAATAGACCTTTAAAAAAAAAGAAACAGAATACATGAAATCAGGTGGGAAGTACCAAGTGGGAGGGTGCAGAAAGGGGAGTGGTCTAAGTATGATCCAAAATACATTGCATAAATTTTGTAAAAATTCAACTAAAAATTATTTTTAAATTACCTATGAAAAGATATTAAAAAGATAACTGGGAGAACTGTGAGTAGGAAAATATGTGAACACATCTGAGAGTTACTGTTTTTCGTCTTACATGGAAAATGGTATTTTAGCAATATGAACGAATCTAGGTGAAGATGAACTGCCATGCTTTTAACTGACTTTACAATGGCACTGAAGGAGGAGGAGGATTAACACTGCAAACATTAACAACTGTCAGTGAGCTTCTATTCAATATTTTTTATACAAAAATTTCTATAGACATTTTTAAGCCAGGCATGGTGGTGCATGCATTTAATCCCAGCACTTGGGAAGCAGAGGCAGGCAAATTTCTGTGAGTTTGAGGCATGCCTGGTCTACATAGTGAGTTCTAGGCCAGCTAGGGCTACAGGAAGACCCTGCCTCAAGAAGAACCCCCCCAAAAACTTAAAGTCTACTCAATTGATTACTTTAAAAAAATCTTAGATTTCTTTATCATAAAGTTCTCTAGTTAGCATATAGCAAATCAACTGGAAGGCTTGTTAAGACTGCTGAGCACTGGGGCTAGAAAGATAGCTCAGTGGTTAAGAGCACTGGCTGTTCTTGCAGAAGACCTGGGTACATATCCCAGCACCCACATGGAGGCTAACAACTGTCAGTAACTCCAGTTCCAGGAGATCTGACGCCCTCCTCAGTCCTCCATGGGCACTGCATGACACAGGTGCACTTTTAGATATGTAGCAATACATACATACACATAAAATAAAAATATAAATATTTTAAAAAGAAGAAAGACTGCTGAGTACTGTCCCCAGGGTTTAAGTAGCAAGTCTAATACAGGACTTAGGCATTTGCATTTAAAACTGGCAAGATCAAGTGCTGATGCTGCTGATCCTGAGGATAAGACAGGCTCAAAAGACAGAGACCATAAGATCATATGGCAAGCAATTGCAGTCTTTAACCTGCCCCAATATTCCAGGACTTATACAGATTGTCAATAAAGCACATACTCTCAACTGCAAATGTGCCTTTTATTCATGGAGTAAAAGCACTGTTGTGTGCAAGACAGAAAGAAGGGAGTATACATGTACTCTTGGTTCAGTGTCAATTTTTTAAAAATAAAACCAGGAATAGCTACAGATAAAATTATTATAGCTAAGAGAATAAAGGATAACACTGTATCCTTAGTTTTATTTGGCAAAAGTAAAACATTCACTGGGGAAAATATGTAAACAGCTTTCACAAAACAAAGGAAGAAGGCAGAAGGGAAGAGTGGGAAGGTATGGGGTAGTGTCAGTCTTTCTAATTTTTATAAGGCTAATGGCCTAGGAAAATGGCTAAAGTAAGTTGCTGTCTTAACATATACTTGAAAAGAAAGCAGGCAAACTCTTAGACTAATTGCATTTACAGAAATACAAAAATTTGCAAGAATTATGATTCAAAGTAATTAAACATACACAATGTCTTTGTGATTGTGTGAAATTATAATACCAGAAAAAAATTTTGTGTGTTGGGGGAAAGGATGAAGCAAAATAAAACAAGATATAGGAGAGTGAGAAGGTGCCAAGGAGAGTAAGAGAAGAGAGAGAAAAGACAGATGATGAAACCAGAAAATCCTTTTAATAGACAAAATCAAACACCTAAACACCTACAGGAAATGGAAAGCCACTGTATACTGGAATCCCTGCTCCCAAGCTCAGGCTATAGGAGTAACTGGAAATTTATGATTCTAAGAACTGGCTGAAGGGCAAGACACCTAAAGCTTGCCCAACAGAGCCTGTCATTTACCCTAGCTACACAAAACCTAGGGTCTAGTCTCTAGATTTGGGTTGGTGGAGAACAATGAGGTGGTACTGACAACAGGAAAACTGACTAAGAAAACAGTCTAACTCCCACACTCACTCTCAGCTCTGGGAATGCCTCTCCTCACCTCAAGAAACTAGGGAATGAATATCCCTCCAGGGAAGTGAACAAGTCTGCTGGCAAAACTATGCCAAAGACAGTGAGGTATCTGACAATCTGCTGAATCCCTGTAAAGTAACTACTATGGCCTTATTTAGAAACACTGATGGGATAACATCCATGTATCTGAAATTTTTTGACATTACTGGAAGAGATTTTAATTGCTATACTCAATTATAAAAACTACCCTAACAAAACAATCAGGAAAACATGGTTCAAATAAAATCCACCTTACATATAAGCTCATGGGTGTATTTGCTGAAGTCAGCAGCCAGTCCATACAAAGCCTAGTAGCTGCTGGAGTCTGTCTCATCTTAACAGTCCTCACCCTTAGGTAGAACTCAGCTGATTTATAACTCAAGCTCTCTCTAATGTTCACCACCCTAAGCTCCCAGAGCACCTAGAAACAACTGTGATACAATAAGAGTAAGTATCCATCTGATCATAGATATTTCTTGCATCTCTGAAGACAGGTTAAAATGTAATAATCTCGATAGTAGAGAGTCTAATAAAACACTGGGACAGTAAATGTTCAAAGGAAGTTTAAATGAACTATTATCAATATCAGGAATATCTTTATCAGAATGATGAAAACTGCTTACATTTCCAATTAAATTTAAAATTAGTAAGAAAAATAAGATGCAAGTAAGAGTGCAAGTTTACTTGTGCAAAAAGGGAGAATAGTATATATGCATATATAATTTTCCATGCTATATGCATTAAGTAGTTGGTCACATACTTAGGCCGACATGAATTACTTTCATGGGAAATGAGGTCATAGATCCTGTTTGTGCATTTATTAGCTCTTGAGTTTTAAGTTATGAGAATATACTACTCTTTCAAAATTATACATATAAAGAAAACATTTAATGTAAAACTTTAAATTATATTTTTTTAACAGTGGAATAGAAAGGAGCAATAGCTCCTTTATTATTTATTATTATTTAATATTACTTATAAGGCAGGCGTGGAGGTGCAGCCTTTAATATCAGCACTCGGGAGGCAGAGGCAAGTGGATCTTAAGGCCAGCCTGGTCTACAAGTGAGTTCCAGGCCAGCTGGGGCTACAGGGAGACCCTGTCTCAAAAAGACAAAAAAAAAAAATCCAAACCAGGATATTTATTTACGGTTTCGCATTAAAATTCTTTAGAAGTACATCTTATTGCATTCTATTTCAATAAGTATTTACTAGTCAAAATAAAATTATGTAAATGTTAGGGCTCTTAAATATAATGATGTTATAAGATATGTTGGGGCTGAAGAGACGGCTCAGCAGTTAAGAGCACTGGCTGCTCTTGCAGAGGACCAGAGTTCAGATTGCAGCACCCACATGGCAGCTAGCTTCAGTTCCAGGGGATCCAACACCTTCTTCTGACCTTACGGGCACTGCACGACACAGATGCACTTACACACATGCAGGCCATACTCTCATACACATAAAATAAAAATAAATGAAAACTTTTTCAAAGCTATGCCATGCAATATTTCAAACCTTGAGCTCACAGTAGTACTCATGTAGTAAGGAAATCAAAAGACTGAATGAAAACTGTAGAGCCAAGATTAATTTTATTTGAGATACTATGATATCAGAAATAAGAGATGGAAGAGACAGAAGTTTCAAAATCAACTTTCATACCAGTTCTGGCAGAGCAGACGTTGGTTAACTATTGCACTTGATGCAAATTTGCACAATTCCTTCTATTTTGTCCCCCAACTATACACAGGGGTTAAGATCTCAGGTAATATTTCTTATTCCCTTATGTTTTACTAAAAACTAACACTATGTTTACAAATAGCTTACCTTCATCTACTGTGGTCATGTCTTGTTCTAATTTCAACTTCTGTTGGTTAATTTTTAGCATGGATTCTTCAATTGTTCCTTGGCTTATTAATTTAATAACTAGTACTTCTCTAAAAAAAAAAAAAAAAAGATGCATGATATGCCCATGGATTACTAAAGTTATTTAGATACATGTATCTAACAATCCTATAAGAATAATTTGAAAATACCAGACACAATGGCATGACCCAGCACTCAGAAGGCAGAGGCTGGTGGATCTTGGCAAGATTGAGGTCAGCCTGGTCTACACAGCAAGTTCCAGGTGAGCTGGGGCTACAAGGAGATCCTGTCTCAGAAAGAACCGCCCCCCCCCCGCAAAAATGAATTTGAAAATTATGACCCCCCCTGCAATTTTTTTTTCCTCAAACCACTGAGACTGGCATTTTAAAAGTATTCAAACATCTAGCAGATACATCCTTTCCTATAGATCCAAGAGAACAGAAATGTATATACCTTGGAAATTACTGACAAAATTACAATAGGCTGGAGATTGAGCTCCATGATAGAGCACTTCCTGGGCTAGCATGACTACCTTGTATATACTACCTTCTTATTTGTTTGGAGGCTAGCCTGACCTTGAACTTACTCTGTAGGATCAAACTAACTTGCACCTTGTGGCAATCCTGCCTTAGTCTCCCAAGCGCCAGGATTACAAGAGCCACCACACCCAGCTAATCTTTTTCACAGGGGCTATACTAATGATAATACTACATCTTCATAAACTGTAGAACTTTTGGCATGAAGAGGTTATCTTAATTACTTAAAAAAAAACAACAAAGTACATAGTAAGTTACATTGTGGATCTCATTAATACATGCTGGTTAAAAAAATACAGCAGCAACTATATTTTGATGAAAACTAAGACAACACACTTATTCTAATATTCTGTACTAATTAAACTTACATTTGATGAAAAATAAAATTTCAACTGAAAACACATACTTAGTCTGGCCCACTCTATGGCATCTGTCTTCTGCTTGTTTGTCATTGTAAGGATTGCAATCAATATCATGAAGTATAACAACATTTGCTGAAGTCAGATTTATTCCTAATCCACCAGCTTTGGTTGACAAGAGAAATACAAAGATATCCATATCGGTATTAAACTCATCAATTAGATGGATCCTATAAGACAAATAGGTTCAATTTTACTAAATATTAGAACTGCATCATACCACATGGAAAGCAAGTTCAAACACTGTCCATACACGCTTCTCATTAGCTTTGTGCCTCATAGCTGTCACTGATGGACCCTCTCAACTTACCAACTATTTCATACTAATGCTCTTTTAATTAACTGTTACTTTAATTCAACCACTCAGATTTGATTAATTTGTAAACTACTAGTTTGTCCTTTGATCTAGATGTTACCTATCTGATCTTTATGAACTTCCCAGAAGTCTGACAACTAGAAGTGGTATAATCAATACTCAAGATGAACGAAGAACTTCGAGATCAAATGATACCCATGTATGCTTTGGGCATTATTTTTGCCCTTACACTAACATGGCGGGGGGGGGGGGTCATTCTAACTGATAAATCAAGACACAAAATTACATATCAATTTCAATTTCAACAGACTAAGAAAATTATTCTATTTTACCTTTTTATTTCTTTAAAGCCTGGAAGAACTGTTTGGTTTGTTTCCTTCCTCTCCCCAATCCCCAAGAGGGTGTACTCACTAAATACTGTAGTGTGGCTTCAAACTTGAGATACTCTCACCAAAAAAGAATTTTTTTCTAAAAGTTTAGTTAGCCTTAAAATATGAACTATCTGACTTAAAACAATTTTAATTAAAAGCAGGTGCTTTAAACCTTGGATAAACTTTTTAGCAGGGAAAATTCAAGGCTGGGGACATAGCTCAGTGTTACGGTACTTGCTTAACATGTGAAAGGCTCTGGGTTTGATCTCTAACACCACAAAAACAACATAAAATAAAACAAAGGAGGAAATTACAGAAAGCATACAATTCCCACAGTTTTCCAAAATATATTTATATGTAATTCTGGAAGAAAATATCCCTCATTTTAAAGTAATAATTTGAAATAACAAAGCCTGAGACTCAAAGTAACAAATTTCTATCAAATGCTTCAGATATTTAAAATGCTAGCAAATAAAAAAAAAAAAAAGAATGATATTCTGAAACTAAAGTGAAAGAATACCAACCTTTCAGAAATTTGAGTCTTTCCATCTAATCGGAGGTACCTATGCTGATGATGTTTTAAGAGAACCTCTAAAATATCCAGCATCATGGTAAACTGGCTAAATAATACAACTCTATGGCCCTGTGAAAATACATGCATGGATTAGAGAGAGGAAAGTCAAATCATTACACACCCAAGCCTTGAGGGTTAAAACATTAGAGTGCTACAAAGAGCACTGAGGCAACTTTGCAGAAAATTCCCTATGATAAAACTATCTAGTGATCAAAAAAAATGTTTTTTAAGTAACACTCAAGAATGATACCTACAATAAATTTCTCTATGATGAATTAAAACTTCAGTAGAAAAATGTAACTCTCAATTTTGAATTTAAGGATAGCTAACTATTTCTTTGTTTTCATAACAGAAGATCATTCAATGTAACCTGATATATAATCACTATTTGTTTTGGCTTTTTGTTTGAGACAGGGTCTCCCAGTAGCCCCAGCTGGCCTGGAACGGGCTATATAGACCAGGATGGCCTGGTTTCATAGAGGTTAGCCTGCCTCTGCCTCCCAAATGCTGGGATTAAACACATGTGCCACCATGCCCAGCATAATTACTATTTAGATGTTAATCCTGCAAATTTAAGCTATTTCACATAGATGGCAATATCCTTTGAAGAATCTGACAAGTAGTCATCTTTGAAATAATGGTAATTAAGACTTTTAAAAAATTAATAGAAATGTAGCCTAATCTAATTTTTATTGTTCTCTCTGAAGTTCTATACAGAATAACCAGGAAAATACATGATCAAATATGTGAAGAAAATGTTCAAAACACTAGGTTCTAATAGAATGTAGACAGACGAGGCTTCGAGAAAGTGAAATCGGAGAAAAGTACTTTAGGAAGTCCAACTAACTGGAAGATATAAAAGGAGAGTCATTCTGTTTAATGCCTTCTGTCTCATAAGTTCAACTGACTGGAAGATACAAAGGGAGTGTCATTCTGTTTAATACCTTCTGTTTCAACTCAGACAAGATGCATCCTAAGGCTCGGAATTTCCCAGAATCTAAAATCAAATCCATGTCTAACTGGTAATTGTTAATGTGTCGATATTGTTTACAAAGTACATGTAGTTCAAAGTCTGTCATAACTTCCATGTCTTCAAAGATCAGGTCAGGGTTAGCCTCACAATGTGTAGGTTCCTTTTTAAAATGAAACACAACAAAACATAACACTTCAAAATGAAATAATCTATAATAGATCAGAATTATTTAATAAAAATTTTCACATTCGAAAAAATACCTAAATCATAGACTATTTTAGAACAGATTTGGTGTAAGAAATTAGTATTAATTTCAAATGTCACAAAGGAGAGATGTTTACTGTTCTAGAGATAGCATATGAAATACAGATGCAGTAATTTTCTTTTAATTCTATTCTAACATTTCTTATCAAGATAGCCATTACTAATATATAAATAGACCCTTTACTCTTACTATGTAAAGCAATATCCCACTCTTTGGAATTTCACTCAAAATAATCCTCACAAACATCTAGTGGGTATAAATGAAACAAGAGTGGTATAAATATGAGTACTAACTAGAAAATGAGCAAAAGTAACACAGGCAGAGGGTTTCTTCATATAAATTTTTACTTTCTCATATGCTTAAAATAAACTAAAAGGCAACTGGTTGTATTCAACACACAAATCTGTACATGGACAAAATAAGGTATTAAGGAAGAATGAGGCAAAAATAAAGACTAAAATAATGAAGAGAAAATAAAGAAAATAAATATGAAAATTGTGTCATTAATCGAGGCACAAAATCTGAGGGACCTTTTAGGTTTTAATTTTTAAAGTGACTTATGGAAGTCTAGTTCAAGAATTCGTAAAGTCTCCTTATAAAGTGCCAGTGACCAGCTATGGTAAATGGTAAATATTTCAGGCTTGGTAGGCAGCATGCCCTGTGCTGTGTGGTTCAGCTCTGCCCCTACCAGTCAAGGACAACACAAAAGGGCATGTTTGTTCAATAAAAAACAGTTATCACCCTGGTTTGCTGATTCCACATCTAGATTACCAGTCCACCTTGCTCTTTTGTCCCCCAGATTATCTTTGTCTTGAAAATGGTTTTCAGACTAGTGCTTAGTGCTAATGACAGAACGCTTTATGCTTTGTTAGCATGTGAGAGGCCTAAAAGAGCAATATGCCTGACAAGTTCAGCAGTCTGACTTTCAGCCTAACCACTCTCTTAACCATAAACCCTTACCTTTAGCATAAGCTGAGACATCTCCTTCAGTTTTTCAGGTGTATAATACTGGCGGTGTAATAAAGGATGATTGGCCATTTTTCTCAACTGCATCATGACATTGCACATTTCTGTATTTTTTTCTGTGATCCAAAGAATATACTAATTTTTAAAAAATTCAAAGTAATAGCTATTTACTAAACTATATCTCAATTTCCAAAGTTTTTAAAATATTCTACTTTTTAAAAATGAATAAAGTCTATTTATCATAAAACTAAACAAAATGCAGGCCTAGTACAAGATTTCTTTTCCATAAACTGTCAAAGTCATTATACCCAGGTTATTGATAGACTTTTTCAATCTGTTGAAAAGGCCCAAGTAGAGTTGCTCCTGCTTCTCTGACATTGCACAAAGCTCAATTTGATCCTTCTTGGCAGGTAGTTGCTTGAGAACCTAGAAAAAAAGTGATACAAGGTGATTTTTCCAATAAAAAGGGAAACAGAATTCTTACAAATTGTAACCAAAAACATCCAGACAAAGAATTACCTCCTCTTTCACTCTTCTGAGAATAAATGGCTTAATGATCTGTTTTGCATGGGCTATTCTCTCCTTTTCATAAATACTCTGCTCATCTGCGGGCTTCTATACAAAGTAAAACCACAGCATTTTAGAAATTTTAAATGATCACACCAATTCCACATTACAATATGAAATTTTTTCTACAGACCCTAAAAATCACCAAAATGAAAATTCACACTTGACTGTTTAGACTTTTCCCAATAGGCAGTGGGTACAGGTCAAATTCATAGGCTTGGGTATGCAAGACAAATGTCTACACTTGAGTTATACTAGTAGCCAGAAAGTCACTTTTGCACTGAGCTGTATGCTAGCTGGAAGATCCATATATACTTTGAGGTTTCATAGTATGTAATCATGTATTTTACTGAAGTAACAAATCTGAATAGGATTAGATGGTACCTAGATTTAAAATTCCAATTCAGTCATTACTGACTCACATGAAATAAAAATCTGTATATGTTTAAAGAGAAAGGGAAAAAAGGGGGAAAGAAAGAAAACTTCTTTGTCTTTATGAAAATGTTCACCCCAAAAGCTAACACATCTTGATAAAAATCACAAGGATTGGTTGGGACTGAAGAAATGGCTCAGTGTTAAGAGCACTGGCTGTTCTTGCAGAGGACCCAGGTTCAATTCCCAACATCTATACAGCAGCTAACAACCATCTCTAACAACAGTTCCAGGGGAATCCAACACCTTCTGACCTCATGGGCACTGCACAACATAAGTGCACTTAGACACATGCAGGCAATACACTCATACACTGAAATAAAAATAATATTAAAAAAAATAAAATCACAAGTATTAAAAGTAGGAGACAGTATCTAGCCAAAACTGATGGTTTTGAAGAATTACAGAGTAAAACTTCATTCTAAGAAGTCAAAGGGTCCTTTAAACCTGTAAACTAGGGCTAAAAGAGTAGTCTATTTCTAAAATTGTACATCAAGGAGGAGAAATTCACCAGTAAACATCAAAAAGGTAGCAGAAATGCAATTAGAAGACTATCAAAGAAAAAACACCCATAAAAATCTTAGGTCTAGCCAGGCATGGTGGTACACGCCTTTAATCCCAGTACTTGGGAGGCAGAGGCAGGTGGATCTCTGTGAGTTCGAGGCCAGCCTAGTCTACATAGTGAGTTCCAGGATAGCTGGGTATACAGGGAGACCCTGTCTCAAAAAGACCAAACACACACACACACACACACACACACACACACACAAATCTTAGGTCTAGCCTAAATGATGAGCTCCAGGTTCAGCTGAGAGTCTTGTCTCAAAAAATAAAGGTGGACATGCACCAAGTGGTGGTGGGTGCTTAGACTGGTGGTCCAGAGAAGAGACAGATTTTTACAAAAATACAAGTTTATAGGGATCCTGGCACCAAATGGTGGTTAGTTCACAGATGTGGCCAAGACTCGGGAACCTTCTAGAAGAGGGAGCAGAAAGAATGCTAAAAGTCAGATGAGCAGGAAGAGGGCTGGGAAATGCTGTCTTACGGGCCTTACATGAACATGGTAATCATAAACTCGAGAGCAGCTGTGATCATCTGCATAAGGTTCGCACAGACTGAGACTCTAAACATTCAGTCCTGGACCAGGGAGCTACTGGCAATCAGGGCTTTCTAGGAATAGAAAATCATTGTTTTCACTGGTATAGCCACTGATGAGTTTACCATGCTCCAGTGGATGGCTCCACATTGTTTTCACTGGTATAGCCACTGATGAGTTTACCATGCTCCAGTGGATGGCTCCACATTGTTTTCACTGGTATAGCCACTGATGAGTTTACCATGCTCCAGTGGATGGCTCCACATTGTTTTCACTGGTATAGCCACTGATGAGTTTACCATGCTCCAATGGATGGCTCCATACTCATGCCCATTGGAGCAGGGTTGGTTAAGTCCAATGGGCCACAACATAAAAATAAAACAAATAGACATGGAAGTGGGATGGGGACTGGTGGGAAGAGGGGACTGGTAGGGATGGGTGGGAAAAGGAAGAGAGAGGGTAGCCAGATGAGTGTGACCAGAAGATACTATGAATGTTATGAAAGTGTCAAATAATAAAACAATAAGGTGGAAAGCATAAGAAGATACCCAAAGTCAGTCTCTGGCCTCACCCACATGCACAGGTGAGAGCACTTACACACACACACAGACACACACACATCATGTACAGAGAAGAATATAAAAGACAAAGGCGAAGGTCATCTTAAAAAGCTCAGGAGTGGGTGTCCTCTCAAAGTTTCAGACAAGTGACCTAAGAATGAAGCTGCTTGCCCAAAGTTACTGAGCTCATCCAAGGTCACTGAGTTCAAAGCAGAGAACTAGAACCCTTGGGTCTAGTCAACTCTCTACACTCTACAGCAGACAAAGAGCAAGAAGAGCCACGGAAAAGAAAGTTGGAGCTTGGAACACACACACACAAAAAAGGGCATCTTTAAACGCTTGTATTGTCTGCAAGACACTACTTTTCTCATCAGACTGTACATGGTAAAATCACAGAGCTAAGATATCATGACATCACTGTATTAATACCAGTCTTCTGAGAGGATCTTCCAACCTCACCCCTAGAAGCCTCTGGCTTCCCAAAATAGTGAATGTACTGGTAGGAGTTACTTACCTGCTACGTACCTGTAAATTCTAAAATTCTAAGACCCTAGATCTAGCTTTGGAAAAGTCAGTCACCTACTCCAACATAAGAATTTTTCTAGTTTAGCCACTAGATACTAGTTTTCTGTTTTTAGTTGCTTGTATGATATTAAAATTAGTGGAAGCTTACTCAGCTAAAGGATACAGAATTAAAGGACTACACTAAAGGATACAGAATTAAAAAGGATACATAAAATAAACATATATACATAATATATACACACACACCCCAAGATATTATATCTTTTAGCTTTCTGCGAATTTAAAGTGTTGTTTTACTCAGATAGTTAGAATACTAAAAATTCAAAACTTCTAGGAATTGATTATAGAAGTTGTTAATTATTTTCCTCTTGGCTGACTGTTGATTTGCTCATATATAAGAGTATCAACAGCTTCAACTTCTTTCATACAGCACTATGAAAACAACAAAAGTGCAAATAGTTGAAATAAAATGGAACACATTTGGGGGAAATATGCATACATCCTTACCGTCTTAGAGGAGAACATTCTTCGAATTTCACTCGTGCTGCTACTGAACATATGTGGCATGACAAAATTCAATAATGACATGAGTTCTAAGAGATTATTCTGCACAGGTGTGCCTGTGAGCAGTAAACGGTTATTTGCCTATGAGTGAAGACAAAACTTAGATTAGCTTTTTTTTTAAGAACCACATCCTCCTTGTCTACCTTGCCTAGTAAAGAGTAAAAGGAAAGAGAGGAGGGAAATTATAACCACCCTCAACAATTTTACTTTCTGTAATAAAAGAAGAGTTTAGGTACTGGATGTCTGTTACTATCATCTATTGTATTTTATACAGAATGTGAAACTGCTGGCCACATTCTGTTAAGTAGTAACTGTATACTACATAACTTGATGAAGTGATAAAAGATAAAGTTTTTTTGTTCTTTTTGAGACAGGGTCTCCCTGTAGTCCCAGCTGGCCTGGAATGCATGTAGACCAGGCTGGCCTTGAACTCACAGAGATCCACCTGCACCTGACTCCCAAGTGCTGGGATTAAAGGCATATGCCACCACGCCCAGCTCAAGATAAAGTATTTTTGATATTTACTTTATCATATGAAAATTGAGGCTCATGTTTTGAGCTGAGAATATTTTTCATATTTTTAAAAATTACTGAAAAGAATGAGAAATACGTGACAGAGGCCACTGAAAACACAAAGCAATACCTTTAAAGAATAAGCATGCTGACTCCGATACAAAATATTATATATATTGAATTATATGACATTAATTTTTTTTTGGAGACAGGGTCTCCCTGTAGCCCCAGCTGTCCTGGAACTCACTATGTAGACCAGGCTGGCCTTGAACTCAAAGAGATCCACCTGCCTCTGCCTCCCAAGCGCTGGGATTAAAGGCGTGTGCCATGATGCCTGGCATATGACCTTAATATTTTATCACAACTCTGAACCACTTATAAAACGCTTTCTTACATTAATTGTCATAAGGTGCTGATAGCGGATAGAGCCCATATTCTTCAGCATGTGGCCCTCATCAAAAATTGCATAATTTAGTTTCAGCCGCCGAAAGAGACTACGGTCATCAGAACTGCTGATTGCACAATTATCCCTGCCACAAAAGAAAATAAAGTATTTAGATATTTTTTAGGAGCCTATTGGGATACAAAGTTCTTTAAAATTTAAAAAAAAATTTTTTTTAGAAGGGTTGGAAAAATGATTCAGTGGTTGAGAGCACTGGCTGTTCTTGCAGAGGACTGAAATTCAGTTCCCAGCATCCATGGTGGTTAACAACTATAACTCTAGGTCCTAGGGATCCCACACCCTCTTCTGGCCTCCATGGACATTGCAGGACATGGGTGCACTTACATACATGCAGGCAAAACATTCATACACATAAAATAAAAAATTTAAATTAATTTATGTATATATATATGTATTTTGTATGTGTGTATGCACATGCCTGTGACATGTGTGTAGGAGTCAGAAGACATCTTGCAAGAGATTGTTCCTTACAATGCCAGTCCTAGGGATCAAATTCCAGTTGTTAATCATAGCAACTAAGGCCCATTGAGTCATCTCACTGTCCTATAAATTATTTTTCTTTTGACACACTAAATACATCAAGTACTCAAAATACTGATGTATTTATATCAAATAACTGTTATGTTCATGTAATCCAATTATGAAAGCTACAGTACATAACTAAAATTTAAATGTTACAGTATTAAGACAACTTCAATACACTTGAGAAGCAGCAGATTCAAGTATAATCTGGTATTGCTTTATGCTTTGCACCCTATGTTTTTCTATTTTATAAAGCAAAAAATTATACAAAGATAAGCCAGTAGAGTGGGTCAAAGAATTACAGCTAAAACCCAAGACTTCAAGACCACATATGAGATCTGCTTCATTAAAAAAAAAGATAAATAATTCTTAAGGTGGTAGGAGCCTGGAGAGATGGCTCACTAATTAAGAGCACTCGTTCCTCTTATAGAGAACCTGAGTTCAATTCCCAGCACCCATATTAGGCAACTCCCAGCAGCCTGTAACTCCAGTTCCAGGAGATTTGATGCTGTTTTATGGCCTCCATGGACAACTGCACACACGTGGTGCACATACACACATTTCAGGCACACATGTACACATAAAATAAGTAAACCTAAAAAATAAACACAAGAAAGAAAAAAATAAAAATTTGGATAAATTCCACAGAAGGCAGTAATAAGAAATACCCAACAGAGCCAGGTGTGGTGGAGCACAACTTTAATCCCAGCACTTAAAAAGTAGAGGTGGGCATATTTCTGTGAGTTCAAGGCCAGCCTGATCTACATAGTGAGTTCCAGGCCAGCTGGGGCTTATGGGGAGACCCTGTCTCAAAAACACAATAAAAAAAAAAAAAAAAGAAAGAAATAACCAACAGTTAAACTGAGCTTTAAATAAGCTATATAGCCAGGCATGGTGGTTGTGTGCCTTTAATCCCAGCCCTTGGGAGACAGAGGCAGGTGGATTAAAAGAAGACTGAGGCCAGCCTAGTCTACATAGTGACTTCCAGGTGGGCTGGGACTAGGGAGACCCTGTCAAAAGAATAACCAAACATAGACAAAAAACAAAATAAATGACCTATAAAATAAATGCATTAAGCTTTCCATCAGATAGTAATAGTTCCAACCAAGTAGTTAGTAGCTATTCAGATATATTTGTCAAGCTGGGCATGGTGCAAGCCTGTGATCCCAGCACTTAGAGGTGGGGTAAGAGGATCAAGAATTTAAGGATAGGGGGTTGAAGAGACAGCTAAGCAGTTAACAGCAGTGGCTGCTCTTGCCCAAGACCAGGGATCAATTCTCAGCACCCACATGGCAGATAACTACCCTCCTAACAACTCTCCTTAACACCAGTTCCAGAGGATTCAACACTCTTTTCTGGCTCCCACAGGCACTGCACAGCACAGGTGCACTTACATACATGCAAAAGTAACACTTGCACACATAAAAATAAATAATTCTGTTTAAAAAAAACAAAAAAACTGAATTTAAGGATATGTGCAGCTACATGAACTGGAGACCAGCCTGAAGTAAATAAGACTTTGTCCTGTCTCCAAAACAAAACAAGAATAGTTACCTTTGTCATCCTTATTCTGCCCAAACTCAAATTTCTCATCAAGAACATGAGATTTCACTGTACTTATCAGTATTTATTTGCAAGTAAAAAGTATAAATCATAGTGCTGGGGTATCTCAAATTTTACCCTAAGCTTATTTGAAAGAGTCCTGCACTGCTTTCAATTAAGTGAACAAAAACTTTCACACCATTAAGAGTGAACTAGCAAAACTCATAAACTGACCTACCCCAACAAATGAAGATATGCCTTCATCTCCATTCACTTTACTGCTTCTGCTACATGGTTCCCAGCAAACTCTCCTATATATCTTACTACAAAATATTTTTTTCATTTGCGTATTATACAAACTCTCCCACGTCACCCAAGTTTTTCTTAATACTTACGTTGTGACAATTACATTGTAATCTTCATATTTACTATGAATGTTGAATCTAATTTGTTTACGTTCTTCCTGAGAACCTAAAATTTTAAAATGAAATATTTTGATTCTATTTATTATATACATTGAGTTTGAAGAAATTCCAAAATGTAAAACATAATGACTTACCATAGTAACAGAGCACATTTAAAGTAGGGCACCACAGGTTAACTTCTCTTAACCAGTTATCTATGATACAAAAGAAATTATTTAAATCTGTTATTGTAGTCAAAAAGTTTGAAAGCTACACTTTTACAAAATATAAATCATAACAATTTTGCTTATAAAACAGACATCAAATATTACTCATTATGATCTAAATGAGAGGTCTGAAGTAGCATCAAAATGAAGGGCAAGGCCCAGGTATGGTGGCACACACCTTTATTCCTGGGGGGGAGGGGGGGAGATGACACACAACGATGACAAGCGGACGGATCAGATTTCTGTGAGTTCAAAGCCAGCCTGGTCTACACTGCTAGTGACCAAGACTACCATAGTAAGCCCCTATCTCAAGAAAAATAAAACAAAATGAAGGGCAAAGGGCAAAAGATAACCTGTAATAAGTCATTATTCCAACTTAGAGATGATCTTTATTCTATATTCATATGCACAAAAATCCTTCCATATTAACTTTTACATTAAGTTAATCATAAAGAACAGAAAAATTATTTAAGCAGAAATTAAAATACATACTTCCAGATTCAACACGCTTATAATGCTCAGTAGAGTGGTAATGCCAGCTTTCAGGAAGCTGAGTCAGAAGATCACCTGAGGCCAGAAGTTCAAGGTAATCACCAATGGGCAAGCTACAGAGAGCTCCTCTTTACCAACATCTCAGAAAATTATATCTTACTCTTTTGTTTCTTTGTCTTGTTTGTCTGACAGAGTCCCATGTAGCCCAGCCTGACCTCAAACTCACTACATATCTGAAGATGACTTTGAGCTTCTGAACCTCCTGCCTCTATCTCCCAAGTACTAGGATTACAGATGTGTGCCACCACACCCAGCACCACTTACTCTAAAAAATAATTTAAAAGCATTATGAACAAAACTAAATGACCGTATCTGGCTCTTGAAAAAGAACAGCAATACAATCAAACACACATATGTACATTTACAAAAAGGAGAATCTAGGGGCCATAAAAGTTGGTATTTATCAACATACACACACAGATATACACAGACAGAAAGACACACATACACACACACACACACACACACACACACACACAGAGGTTTCTACTAATATAAAGCACTATGAAATAGAAAACTAGTTATCCCCGGCATTACAAACCTATGGTTGAGGCTGGAACAACAATCAGATGAGGCCCTTTATTACCCTCCTGATAGAGATACGCCAGGAATGCAATGGCTTGAATGGTTTTGCCAAGGCCCTGAAATTAAACAGTTTAAAACACAAGAAAATGAAATTTTAAAATGAACAGTAAGTAAATACTTCAAAGTCAAAAGTAAAAGGAATATTTCTTGCTATAATGAACTCTGACTTCCTATCATAGAATTCTAAGATTTTTCTACTTACTAGGTTCTTCTCAATGGAATAAAATAGTCTCCAAATGATGTTTTAACTTGCTTTAATGAGCAGAATGGATGAATTTTTAACTGCTGTTTTATACATGACACATAATAATAGGGAAGAATTTTGCACTGAATGAAGAGTCTAATAATTTTGGGGGGTTTTGTGGTTGTTGTTTGAGACAGGGTCTCCCTGTAGCCCCAGCTGGCCTGGCACTCACTATGTAGACCAGGCTGTCCTTGAACTCGGAGATCTGCCTCCCAAGTGTTGGATTAAAGGCATGAGCCACCACGCCTGGAAATTTTTTTAATTTTTATTTAGGCGTCTCTCTGCTTAACACCCCTGTGACTTAGCCCCATCTCATTTCTCTCTTCTTTAGAGTCCCCTGCTGAGACTCTGCCCTTACAGACGCTACCCATGGTCTCAGTTTACTTTAAAACACACATCTTCAGAAAGATCATAAGAAACAAACTCGCCTGAATTTTCCA